GTAACAATGTACAATTTGGGATAAACAAACACATGACTTGGGTTAAAGATACATTTTTAGAGAAAATACATGAAAAGTAACAATGTACAATTTGGGATAAACAAACACATGACTTGGGTTAAAGATACATTTTTAGAGAAAATACATGAAAATCCAACTACTTCTACAACTAACCAAATATTGAATTATTCAAAAATAAATGGCCACACAATAAAAATACATATAATATGTAACAATGTACAATTTGGGATAAACAAACACATGACTTGGGTTAAAGATACATTTTTAGAGAAAATACATGAAAATCCAACTACTTCTACAACTAACCAAATATTGAATTATTCAAAAATAAATGGCCACACAATAAAAATACATATAATATACAAAGGACAAATTTCAGATTAATTCCCTGCATCATGTAAATATGTTTTATATCTATATCCACTATATGTTGCGATTTAGCATGATGAAGCAAAGAAAGATCTAGATTCTTTGGATTTATTTTTTTATTGTGATAACCAAAAATATTCGCTGTTTCTTCACTTTGATATCACAAAAATATTATTTTAACACCTTGCTACCTCAAAGTTTCAATCCTATTTCAATTTGACACTCCAAAGTGTTTTACAATATTCCAAAGTTTAAATCTCATTTTCGCTATGATATGCCCATCTAAATTTGTTAAGTTTCTTATTTATCCATTTTTTGGAGGAACTTTTTTAAAGGAAATTTTTATTAATCTTGTATCATTATTTAGCAACTGAGAAAATTAATCTAAATACATCATATCATAAAGGCGTCATACAAAATTATCAGAATATCTAATGGAATATGCATGGGATGTCAATGTAAAACATAATTGAAACTTTGAGGCATCAAAATATTAAAGAAATACTTCAGGGATATCAAGGTGAAGTTGGATGCAAAGCTAGTGATATGAAAGGGTTGAAAAAAATAAACACCAAACAACTTTGTGCTATCAAGGTAAAGAAGGAGGGAAACTTTGGGGGTAGCAAAGTGAAAATAAGCCAAACCTTTTTAAGATGAGTATTGAGACCCGTACCCGGGTCTTATTGGGCAAAAATCCACAAACCCGAACCCGGACCCATATTGAAAACCATTTCCCGATTTCCCCCACTCGCCAGCGCCTCTCTCTTCCCGACGATCCAACGAAATTTTCTCCCGCTGACCAACGCGGAGAAAACCCCGAAGCGAAATCTCAAACCCTAGATCGGTCCAAAACCTCAAAACCCTAACCCTAGCCTCATCCAATGGCGACTCGCCGAGGAGTGCTCTCTTCTCTACGTCAATCCACCGTAGCTCGGCGATCCGGGACCGTTCCCGTCGCCGGACACCGCCTGCAGCCGGTGACACCGCCCATCCATCAACGGCGATTCGTCAGTTCGAGATCATCGGCTATAGATGTTCTTTATAGGTAAAAGATGGCATTTTTCTAACGTTAATTCGTTATGTGACAGTTTATATGAAATAGATGTGCATAAATTCGAAATAATATTGTCGTATTATATTAAATTGACATGGTTGTAGAGTTTTTCCTTAGTTCTATTTTTCAAAATGTATAAATAGTAGAATGGCAATTCAATTATTTGTTGATGTATCTCAGAATCAGACATCTCCATCAACACTGGAATTAATAGCTTAATCGTTCAAAGCTAACGTTTGGGTTGGTTTCAGTGTGAGTTGAATTCAGACTTTGTTATTTGCAAGGTAAATAGAGTAGCACACAATCACGACTACGGCAAATAACAATCAACAATGACAACAATAAAGCCTTTTGTCGAATTTTTTTTGCAGTCGGCTACATGAATCCTATTCTTATATTCAGTTATATTAACAACTATCTCCTCTGTTATGTTAACAAGTAGCACATACCTAGTGGTTCTTTTAAGACTGCATCAATCGTACATTCATCCTACTCATTTTAGGCTTGTCGCTGACATGCATGATATGTGAATCGGCTTGGAGGGTTTTATAGGCAACGGAACAGTTGGTGATTGCGACTTGGAGCATAAATTTGCAAGTTTAACCAAGCTAGTAATATAAAGTTATTCAGTATATAGAGTAGCCATCAATTTTAAAATGTTTCATTCATAATAAAATACAAAAGTTTCGAGAAATCTTGTGGTTGTACCATACATATTATTACTTAAAATTGGCGTAGCCATGGGAATATGGATGCTTAGAGATGCCAAAGCTTTATAACTCAACAAAAACTGTGGATGTGTACTCTATCTTGGTGCTGATACAAATAAGCAGTGTTTCTTTTTTTTTTCCCTTCCCCACAAGATCAATGATTCGTAATTAAGAATTGGAAGAATACTCCCAATCTCATTTTCATAATGAAATGTTACCATTTGGATTTATCAGTTTGCAAAAAAGTGGGCACAATTTTAAATCATGCTTAGACTTGGTTGAATAAGATCAGGCTGACTACCATTTTGAAGAAAAGCCAATATCGATCGATATATGCTGCAGCTTGTTCCTCCTCTTGCCTAAACTTTTTGTTTAGAAGATTGGATCATTAAGAGGATATTGATGGCTGGGACGAAGTCATATGGTAATTCTCACCATGACAAGATTTATAGGTATACACGCATTCTGTGGTGCCAGCCCAGGCTAAACACAAGGTTGAAGCATCAGTTGCTGCATTAAGCTGGCTTCTGCTTTCTGCATAAGATATTCTTTCCCTTCTTGTCTCTCTCATTTTCTTTTGCGATTGACATCATAAATGTACATCTCAGTTTTAAGTTAAAAGTTTTCAGAAGTATGCGTTGCTATCTTTCAAGTACTGGTCTAGTAATATACTTCGGTTTGCAGGTCTCTACAATCATCGCCAGTTACTGGAACACATGGGAGTTCATTAGCTTTCAAGGTCAGTTAAGAAATGTTTACAAGTTCCTCTTTTATTACTGGCCAAGTGCTAATGCTACTTCTTTGATGCAGCCACTTGTTGAAACTCGTTCTTTCTCATCCACAGGTTTTGTACCCTTTACTTCGTACATGAATCATGATATTTCTTTACATAATACTGAAGTAATAAATAGGTGTTACTTGGAAAGGTTTTCTGATTTTTTATTTTAAACCTGTCACCTTCCAGGACTTTATGCTCAAAATGATTTTCTTTTAAATAAGTTACTTTCAAGTGAATCACGAAGCTCGTTCTAGGCCTGCATTTTTACTTCTATGTGGTATTTATTATTTCCATTCAAAAACTCCTTTTATTTTCAATGCCGATCTATGGACAACAGTTTTTAAAATAGAAATATCTAGTACCTGCTAAAAATAAAAATAGAGGCCTAAGAAATTTCAAAGAAGCTTGGACCTAATAGTTTCTTTGAAAAGATAACATGCTTGGATGTGATCTAAATTTGGAATGTGCCTTAAAAGTTCCTGGCTCTTTGTTTTTCATCACCAGCACAACTTTCCGATACGTGTATGGCTTGTATCATAAGGAAGCAGCATAGACTTTTTTAGTGGAAGGAGCTTCAATGTAACACCTCGGTGCCTGAGGCTGCAGAATACTGTGCCTCTAGGTTGTAATGGACAGCAAAGGAGTTTCACCATTAATTTAGCCCTTTATGTGGTAAAGTGTTCTGTTTATTTCTGCGCTCCGTTCTGTAACTCCTTGATAGGGCGAATCTGAAGCGTTCATTTAGTAAGATTGGGGACCCAATGTCCTGCCAGTATAGCCTACAAGGAACTAGATTTAAATACTAACTCAATGATTGCCTTTTGGCTAAAATTTGAAAAGTCCCTTCGTATTTGTCGTCTCTTTTTTCATGTTGGAGTTCCTATGCTTATAGTTGAAAATTTGGAATATCATTTAGGTAGATTGTGTTTTAGTACCAAGTTGAAGTTGCATTTGATAACGAGGACCCTATGGATTTTCAATTGTCTGTACCCTTGTTAAAATGCTGTAGGAACACAATTTATTGTTTGTTTCTTCCAGTTTTCACTTGTCTGGTTGTTTATTCATACAGGATCACATACTGTACTGGAAATGCCAGCATTGTCCCCAACCATGGTGAGGATTATAGAAATACTGTAATTAACGTTTATCTATATATTCCTCTCATTTCTGTTAATTATTGTAAGTTCTGACATCAATCTTCAACTTATGCTCTTAGAATCAAGGAAACATTGCTAAGTGGAGGAAGCAAGAAGGCGACAAGGTTTAATATTTTATCTTGATAACCATAGTTTGTTGTTGCTGATACTGACTCTATACAAATTGGACCCATATTCTGGAAAACAGGGCAGTTTTATGTTAACTTTAACGCTTATCTTTTGACATGTATTTCTTTTTAGATTAATGTGGGGGATGTGATATGTGAGATTGAGACAGACAAAGCAACTCTTGAGTTTGAATGCCTTGAGGAAGGGTACGTTCTATTTCTTTGTAGGTTTTAGAATATAAATCATTGGAATTCCTTTTACAGTTCATTAGTTAATTTCTTATTATGTTTTAGAGTTGAATCTTTATAAAAAAATAGTAACTACATAAGTAAAATATCAAGTGACACAAGCTCCAACTTCCACTATTCTGGAAGTTTTTGTCGAGATGGATATATGTCCACTGATATGGCAATCTAGTTATAAAGATTTGAACAAGTTGGTCTATGCACATGAAAGATCCTACAGTGTGGTGAATGTTTGGAGTGATACGTTGCTTGATTTTATCTTGTACAGCCAATCCCTCAACACCTTGCACAAGCACTCCTTGTAATACCTATAGCTCGTTACTAGAAGGGGCTGCTATTTCAAAATTCTAAATCATTTTTGTCTGCAAGATTGCAACTTCTCAAATCAACTTTATAACTGTGAGCTTTACATGCATTCTTTATCTCTTGGATTAACCCAACATGCCTGGTAAACCATCTTCAGGTATTTGGCCAAAATATTGGCTCCAGAAGGCTCAAAAGATGTGCTTGTGGGGCAACCTATTGCAATTACGGTAATTCATTGTGCTTCCATGAAGTCAATATATTCATTCATGTTGCATATTCATGGTTTTGTCAGAGATGATCCCATTTTCCCTTATCACCTCACTATTGGACAAAATTCTTGAAGATGGTCTCATCACCTTAATTCACCATTAGATTATTTTCTATTCTAGAAGAATTTTGAGGTCATTCTTTATATAAAGATTATTTTCTAGTTTAAAAGTTGATCATTTGTGCACCTCCGCCTTGTAGGTTCCACTACAATGCCATCTGATGCCATATTTGGCCAAGAATTGATCATATGGGATTGATTACTAGTAATAAATTTTGTTAATCCTTTCGTGGAGACTCAACTTTGGGATATGCTTGTTAACTGGCCTCATTTTAGTGGGAAAAGGCTCAGACATTAGTAATGACATTATCGTATAAATGATGTTTCTATGTAGATATACATGATGCAATAAGATGGTTTTGTGTTATTGATGCCATATCTATTTTGCTAAGGAATTTTGCTGATTTATAAGGTTGAAGATCTTGATGAGATTAAGAATGTACCCGTTGATATATCAAAAAGAGCTGAGGTCAGAGAAGAGAAATCAGCCAAGGCTGTGGAACAAAAAGAGCACATCTCAGGAACTAGTTTGAGAAGAATAAGCCCAGTAGCGAGGTTGCTAATTAGAGAATACGGCTTAGATGTATCATCATTAAAGCCATCAGGTCCTCGGGGCACTCTTCTGAAAAGTGATGTAGTAGAAGCAATAAAATCTGGAAAAGGATCTAAACAAGCTTCGAAGCCATCTCAAGAGAAAACATCCACCTTGGCACATAGTGTAGAGTCAAAGACCCATACAACCAGTCAGTCTGCCCCTGCTTCGCCTGTCATGGATGATTATGAAGATTTTCCAAATAGTCAAATACGCAAGGTACGTCTTCTGTAGCTTCATCGGCCCTTTGTAGGCATTTTTAAACCATAATATTAGTTTATAGTTTCAAAAAATGCAACCTTTATGTTATTACCTAGATTCTAAAATTTTCTGTTCATTGAAATTACTAGGTATTTATATTTTTATCTGTATGGAGTCGAAGGATCTCTTACTTTTGTTTTGAGTGCACTTGTGCGTAGGATTATGGTCCTATGGTTCCAGATTAATGTAACTAACATAATATCTATTTGGGAGGAAAAAAAGTAGACGATTACATCCTTTATGATAACCCCGCGTGTATCCATCAATGAGGTTCTATTTATCATTATTAACAAAGTTAGAACTTATATAACTTACCGGCAATGAAGGATTTGATACTTGTAATGTTTCCTTTCACAGAACATTTCAGTTCTAAACGGTTACATAATGTTATTTTGTGGTATTTTAGGTTACATTATTATGTTTTAAAACTTTTATTGAGAATTTCATTTCTAGCTTACACTATTTTATGCTGGTCTTGCAGTTTTTTTCTTGGATGATCTTTTCTGAATATAGTTTCTATGTCCTCATGGGGATAATTAAGACTCCTAATCTCTAGTATGGTTATGGATGGACAATTCTGTCTCTGATCTGTAGACTTTGTGCAAACTTCCTTTTTGATGTTGGGTAGCTTCCTTGCTTTCACAATGCACCTTGATTATTTGGGACATAGGTACAGATATCCCACTGAATGAGATATTCCATTCTCATGAATGGTCAATTAAGTCAACAATCTCTTTTTTAAGAAAGACAACACTGATTATTCCAAGTTTATTTTTTTCCTTTGCTTTTTTTGGGTGGTGTCGAAGAAAAAGCCTTATACAAACACATGCATGCTTTACCCTGTGCAATGCACGTGATTTAATATTTAATTATTCTTAAGGAAAAATTGCGCCTAGGCCCCAAAATAATACGGAGTGTCTGTTAATACATAAAGTTAACACAAATATGTTAATCTCAACAATTAATTCATATAGTTAATATATAACTGTTAAAATTAATAGTCAAATCATATAGTTATCACCTATTTGTTAAACTTAACTCCTAAGTCATATAGTTAACATCTATTTGTTAAACTTAAGACCTAAGTCATATAGGTGACATCTATTTGTTAAACTCATATGTTAATTTTAACCGTTAAGTGTTGACTTTGGCGTGATTTTAGAAGATGGTCATTTTAGCCAAAGGGGATTGTCTTTGAGGGATGCAGGAACGGTACTACGGTAGTGAGAGGAGGAGGATAGATGGTTGAGGGAAGAGGAAAAATGACAAAGGAGAGGTCTTGATGGCAAAAAAAGAGAAAAAAAACCTGAGAAAGAATGAGAAAAACGAGGAGGATGCAATAATGGAGATGGCGGGCAAAGAGACAATGGTTGAGAAGAAGAAGGAAGAAAAATAATTCATGGGTGTTCATGAGGAAAAAAATGAAAGAGATAAGAGGTAGAGGATGAGGATAGTTTGGGGATAAAAAGGAATCTCTTCTTTCTTTGCTGAGGTGACAGCTAAAAAAGGGGTCTTTTTACATAAAAATTGTAATCAAGGGGCCTAAGCATATGGGCCAAAAGTGAAGGGGTTTGATCACATGAGGTTTCTTGTGTTGGGGCCTATGCGCAATTTTTCTTGTTCGTAATTGAACTGAAGAGATAGACACAATTTCATCTATTGTTAGTGTCGTGATAGGCACAATTTCATCTATTGTTACTGACTATGAATTACTATATGCATTTAAATAATTATGAAATTCCATTAACAAACTCGATAATCAAATTTCGTTATTAATTGTGCAGTTAATATTTCAAACTATATAATAAACGAATTTACTGAAAAAGAACATAACAATTAGTATTAAAATATATTGAAAGTGTGAGTCATAATTCATTCTTGTAGGGTTGGAAGGATTTATGGTAAAATTTTAAGTCTTCTTTGCTTCATGATAAGTGGTACAACACATAGCCTTTCTCTTGTTGATGAAAGGGATCGGCCATGAATTCTTTGGCAAAGAACCAATTGTGATTGGAAGTTGGGTTGATGGCCAATGCGAAGAGATAAAAGATAAATAATACCTATTTGCTGGCAGGAGAGCGGAGGAAATTTGAGGAATTCATTTTGGTGATTGATGGCTGTGAATGTTTCCTGCGTGAGAATTCTGTATCTCTTCCTTGTGGTGGTTTCATGATGTATTTATAGGATGAGTTAAGTTTAAGTAGAAAGATCATAATTTTAAACCTTCAAAATTTTCGACAACCCATAATTTGAATGAGATGATAATTTAGTTTAAATGAATATAATGTTTCTAAATTATAACCTTATCATCATCATTTAGTTGGATAAGGTTAAATTAATGATTAGAGTTTCGATTAATTAGATAAGGTGATGGATTATGTGGATTTAAGATTTGGAATTACAGATCAAGATTCACTCAAATTTATTATCTTATCACTTTTTTCTTGTTTTTATTTTATATGTATTTTCAAACAAAATGTTGTCTATGATAACAAAACAAAATTATTATTAATTACTATAAGAATATGATATCCAAAAGATTCAAGGGTAATATTGACCATGGAAAGATTAACCTAAACTCAAACTTTTAAAGGGAGGATGACATGATCTATTTTTTTACTTTATATTTATTTTTCTAAACAAAAATGTTGTCAGCAATAACAAAATAAATTTATTATTTAGGATAGGATTAGAATGTGATATCCAAAAGAGTCAAGGGTAGTATTGATCTTGGAAAGATTTACCCAAACTCACTTCTAAAGGGAGCATGATATTTTCATTTTTGCCAAATACATGGTGTCATGTAAGCCTTACCCTTCCCTATTACCTACCAATAAAGATATGATGGCACTGTTATTAAGCATACTGATAACGGAGTAACTGAAACCACTAGTTTTCCCTCATGTAATGTTCATGATCCCATTGCTTTGAAGGCCTATATATTTAATACATCAAAATACTATGCGAAATTTCCATCTACTGGACATCATTTTGCCTTCTCTCAATTATATAGTAGTGAGGAGCCTATACAACATAAATACACCCTTCATTTATAATTTTTTTGTGCCCTAAATTTGTAATGTATAGTACTTGTCCTCCAAGTTCTTCTCTTAAGCTACGTTACTTGGACACGATGGTTTGACCACCATACCGGCGTCGATACGACCCAACACCAATCCAGGTACAAAATACGAGTCGGATACGGTGGTTGGCACTCGGATACGGCGATGTGTGAATCGAAAAACCAAAAAAATAGAGAAAGAAAAGATGAAATTACATACCAAATTCGATGAAGAAGGCGGCGGGGCTGCGGCTGCTCGTCGTCGACGAAGGAGGTGGGGGAGATGGCTCCTCATCGTCGATGGAGGCGGTGGCTCGTCGACAACTTAGGGTTTTGATTATTTTTTGGGGGCGGCTCCAGATAGAGTCGGGTGAAGTGAGAGAAATGAGATGAGAAGGAACGGGAAATCTTATTTAAAATGGACGGTGGATTGAATGTCCACGTGTATTTATATCTCAACTATGGTTATTTTGCTCTTTTTTGCGTTTTTTTGAAAAAAACACAGTTAAATTGTGTTTTAACTCTTTGTTACAAATGTATAATTTTGGAAATTCTTGGTTTTACAATAAATATTTGAAGCAATTAAAAGTGTATACGGGATAGAGGAATGGAATTTTAATTAGTTGTACTTCATTAAATAAATTAAACTATTATTAAAAGTGTATCCCCGTACCCGTGTCGAAATTTAAGACGGTGTCCCCGTATCCAAAATTTTTAGAATTTTTGTATCGGACAATCGGATCCACACCCGTACCAGATACTCATACCTGAGTCCAGGTAACGTAGCCCAGGCCTTCGAGCCCATCGGCATGGTGTAAGCCGTGGGACTAGTGAGTGTCGTGCATTGTTTAACTTTAACCACTGCTAAAATTGACTAGCGGATGCTATACTTGAATTCCCACAATGTCACTTATAAACTTTTCAAGTTCTCACTCACCCACCAATGTGAGACTAAATCTTGCGGTGTAACACTTATCTGGGATCAAGATTGAATTTAGATAGATGAAGGAACGCTTTCAAAAAGTTTCAGTAAATACTCCTGTTAACATACCCATTCCTCAAACTTTGTCCGTTTGGGATGTATGTGCATGTGTGCAGGGCCGCAAAAATAAGGTTCAACGTTTGATAGCAAAATAAAGGAGAAAAAACAAGTTGATCAGACAACTAGCAATGCTCTTATGGGCAATATATGTGACTGAGTAGTACCTAGAATGCAATCCTAGTTTGTGCAGATGTCATTGCACTTGTAAGACCATTTGTAGAAGAGATCACCATAAATAAATAAAATGATAAATTACAAAAAAGAAAAAAAGGAAAGTGAAGGAACCTAGAATACTGACGGAGAGGTCTTGATAAATTAAAAAAAAAAGATAATGAAGGCAAAGGCAGACACAAGAATTCAGTGCCAATAGTAGTAACAAATAAGATGATTGAAAATGGAAAAACAAGGAAGATAGGCCTAAATATACAAGGTCGAAAAGGACAGCGATTCTTATATAACATGGTGAGTAGGTGAAATACGCTCCTCATCGTCGATGGAGGCGGTGGCTCGTCGACAACTTAGGGTTTTGATTATTTTTTGGGGGCGGCTCCAGATAGAGTCGGGTGAAGTGAGAGAAATGAGATGAGAAGGAACGGGAAATCTTATTTAAAATGGACGGTGGATTGAATGTCCACGTGTATTTATATCTCAACTATGGTTATTTTGCTCTTTTTTGCGTTTTTTTGAAAAAAACACAGTTAAATTGTGTTTTAACTCTTTGTTACAAATGTATAATTTTGGAAATTCTTGGTTTTACAATAAATATTTGAAGCAATTAAAAGTGTATACGGGATAGAGGAATGGAATTTTAATTAGTTGTACTTCATTAAATAAATTAAACTATTATTAAAAGTGTATCCCTGACCGTGTCGAAATTTAAGACGATGTCTCCGTATCCAAAATTTTCAGAATTTTCGTATCGGACACTCTGATCCGCACCCGTATCGGATACTCGTACCCGAGTCCAGGTAACGTAGCTCTTAAGTGACTTTTTGTTTGGATTCTTCTGTCTGAATAGTTTATTTATTGAGCTTGCATTAATATTGTTTGCTTATCATCTCAATTCTAGGTGTGTGTACTTTCTTTCCAAACTGCATGATCATCCTTCAGTGTGCTGGGCATTATTTTTTATGCTTGAGATGATTTTGATATTTCTTAGTGGTGATTATGTAATTCCCTGTATGTCTTAGAGGCCAGCTCTGACCATGTGATTATAATTGAATGTTCTAAACCTAGCATCTTTAATTTGGAAACTCTCTCAAATATGCCTCATTTACAAATTTATAAAATCAACTGTGATAATATTGCTAAGTGGAGAGGCAATCTTGTAGGTTATTGCAAAACGGTTACTGGAATCTAAGCAAAGCATCCCACATTTATATTTGTCTTCAGGTTTGTCCTTATTTGTAGTTTCCTCAGTTTTAACATTTTCAGCAATTTTCTAATATTTATCACTTGCTGTCAGATGTCATACTAGATCCGCTACTTGCTTTCAGAAAAGAACTTAAAGGTATGCTAGAGGAAGTTTGTCTTTTGACTATTTTATTTTCTTAAGTAATCTGTTACGTGGTTCTATGACTGGTATTATACCACTTTTCTCCTTTTGGTACTTTAAACATTAATGAGTAAAGGAACTTTTTTTGTTATCCAACTTGCAGATCAGCATAATGTGAAAGTCTCAGTAAATGACATTGTCATAAAAGCTGTTGCACTTGCATTAAAAAATGTACCTGAAGCAAATGGTAAGTCTTTAAACCTGCTTACTTTTGTTGGCACAATGTTATTGTACTTAAGTTCCAGTTTTCTTCATACTAAAAGAATATTATTGTACTTTTGTTGGCACAATGTTATTGTACTAAAGTTCCAGTTTTCTTCATACTAAAAGAATATTATTGTATTTTTGTTGGCACAATGTTATTGTACTTTAAGTTCCAATTTTCTTCATAGAAGAAAAGAATAAGTCTTCTTTTTTTTTAAGAGGCGCATGAGCTGCGAAGTTTTTACTTTTCAACATAAACATATGATTCAGTTTCTAACTTCGTGTGGCGACGTACTGCCAAAATGTTAGAGAACTAGTTTTTATTTCTCAATTAAATTTAGCTTTAATTGATGAATATTATTAAGTACTCATTGAAGTTTAGGACTTATTCCATCTTAGTATATGCAAGCTATGGCCGAGTGGTTTGGTATTTTTAAGACCGGTTAGATTAAACTTATATTTTCCTTGCCAATGTTATGTATATTGCTTAGACAATAATACCAATTTTACCTTTTCACCAAACAACGAAATGCATACCAATCTTTGACATGGGAGCTTATTTTGGTTCAGATGATTGAATAAATATTTAGGCAATGACAATCTTTGACATTATTTTGGTTCAGATGATTGAATAAATATTTAGGCAATGACGGAGGCAGGGATGTCAAATTTAACTTCTATTAACGACTATCTGAAGACTGGTTTGCAAATCATCATGTGAAGATTTCTTTTTTCAGTATAATACTCTCCACTCCCATCCTTACCATTTCTATCTTCAGAGCTTATCCACCGAAACAAATATGATTGCCTCGAAACACCCTCAAATTATTGTGAGAACTTGTTTGTCATAACATCTTTATCAGCCAACGTATGTTATGGTTTACTTTGGCTTTAGTCATGTGGTAATGTATTACTGTATTGGGTTTCTTGATGTTAGTTCCCCAAATCTTTTGTATTTTGAAATTAGTCCCCCAAATCTTTAGGTGTTTCAAATCCGACCCCTCAAATCTTTAAGTGTTTTGAAATTAGTCCCCTAAATCTTCGTACTTTGAAATTAGTGCCCCAAACCTCCTGCCCCCCCCACCCATGACAGCGACCGAAGCCCCGGTGAACGGTGGCCATAATTGTAACGGTCCTAAGGGAGCAAATTCCTTGTCGGGTCAGTTTTGACCCGCACGAAAGTCGTAACGATCTAGGCACCCTCTCCAAGGGAGGCTCAATTCGTAACGATCTGGGCACTGTCTCAGAGAGAGGCTCGATGAAATAGACATGTCTGTGAAGATGCAGACTACCTGCACTTAGACAGAAAGACCCTATGAAGCTTCACTGTTCCAAAAAAAAAACTTTTTCAACGAGCTACTCAATAGAAGGACTAATTTCAAAATATCTAAAAGATTCGGAGGTCTAATTCCAAAATATGAAGATTTTGGGTGCAAATTTCAAAATATCAAGATTTGGGCAACTAGTTTCAAAATATGAAAGACTTGGGGGACTAATATTGGGGAAACTCTTATTGTATTTTGTCTGAGGTTAAGAACTTAAAGAGTTATGATCCATTTGTTTTCTTGTGCATTCTATTTTCAATTCCTATGGTGAATATCTCATGTTTGATCCAGATTTTTTAATCATGGAGTCTGTTTGTGCATGATTGGTCAGCTTACTGGAACGATGAGAAAGGTGAAGCTACTTTGTGCGATTCCATTGACATTTCAATTGCTGTGGCTACTGAGAAGGTACGCAATCAAAAAATCTTGAAAGCAATAGTACTATAGTATATCTAGTGTAAGGGATTTCACTAGCAATGCCTTGCTTCCAGGGTTTGATGACCCCTATCATTAGGAATGCAGATGAGAAAACGTTATCAGCAATATCGTCTGAGGTACTGTTCTCAAAACTATAGTTACTTTCATATTTTGGATGCAATTGGATGCTTAGATGCTAGTAGCATAACAGTTTTGATCTAACTGCTAATTGATGCCAAGCTATTCTACACAATCCCATGTTATGGTCTCTTTCACATAATCTTAGTTTTCTAATATACTTCCTTAAATTTTTGTCACCATAATGAAATCTCGTTCTTTGAAAATGTTAAATTGGTTTTCATTAGGTTAGTAGCAAACATGGCTTAAGTCTTAAGATGATTGTGGCTAATCATGTATATGAAATGAACTGGGACATGACAGTTCCTCTAATGTGGGGCTTTGTGCCAGATGAAGGAGAATTTTTTGTAAAAAGACCATTTTAAAAAATAATTAGCAAAAACGATCTTTTTGCTAAATAATTAACAAAATCAGCCATTTTTTTGCCAGCTCATCAAGGCTGGTCAAAAAGAGGTTGATTGGCTAAATTTGGTGTTGAAAACACATGGGACTACTACTAGTCCCATGTATTTAGCGTCGCTAATCACCTCCTAAGCACAACCCAGAAAACACGTTGGACTAGTAGTCACGGGACTAGTAGTCACGGGTGTTAAGCAGAAACCACTTGAGGATGAGCAGTTGTACTTGTGTTAAACAGAAACCACCTCTATCTCAATACAACTAAGCAACTATCCTTGTCAAAGTCTACCATACAACAAAACGAACTGCAAGTAAACCCTAATTATAGGTTTTCTCTCAATTTCAAGAAGATTTTAATCAAATCAACCTATGATAAAAAACCCTAAACTTGCATTCAATCGATACCGTAAAAGAGGAAATTAAAACATACATCGGAGGAGGCTAGGACCGCCATCAGAATTGAGGGAATCAGAGTCTTTTCCTACCAAGCGACTGTTTCGGTCAGCGGTGGCTTTGTCTCTAAAACCCCTCCCTTTCGTCTTCTTAGGCCCACCAGAGAGATCGCTTGCGGCGGGAGCGATGGCAGATCTCAGCTTGGGTACGGTTGAGCCTGCGTTTACGTCAGCGCCGATGTCCTCGTCCATGAGATCGTCCTCGTCGGGCTCGAAGTCGACCACCTC